ACATCTTTCAAGGAGTGTCTATGGAACGAGTCATGGATAGGGGTTCGCCTACATTTGTGCTGGTGACCAAACCTCACACACTGGCCCACATCAGTTTGCTCCTGAGTTCATGCACCCTCCTGGGTTCCAAAGGCCCCAGTGCTTTCACATCCCATCAGGGACAGATTCAATGATGGGCAAAGATTCTATTTTGGTTCTTCTTGCTTGTCTTTGCAGTTGATTTCATTCCAGCCTGGAGTCTCTCTGTGGCTGAGAGCTGCCCACGCTTCCTTTCTGCACCTGCCATAGACCCAACAGTCTCAACTCTTCCAGGTCACTGGAACTCCTTCCACGTTTGGGCTTCAGCATTCTTCTTCTCTTTCTTCCCCCTCATAAGTAGCAGGGACTTGGTACAGGTGGTTTTGTCAAGATTCCATTAAATGTTAGGTATTATTATTTTTCCAGTATGACCAAACCCGACTCTAACCACATGAAGAGGAATAAAGGCCCAAGACAGGTGAGGCTTGAAGATTTGAAACAGGAGTAGGGCCACACTCTTGTCTTCAACCCCAAGGATGATCTGAGTGCAGCAATGGAAGTTCTTTAAAGTAGAAAATTCTCAGGACAGAAGCCATCTATGAGAAGTGGACCCAATAGACCAGGGATGGACATTTTGTCTATACAAGTTGGTGTATGATGAGATAAAAAGAATAAGCTAGAGGAAAGAAACAGAGAAAAAGTGAGGACAGAGAGAAAGAGGGACAGAGATAGAAAGAGAAGAAAGAGACAAGGATAGAGAGATATACAGAAAGAAAGACAGATCGAGAGAGAGAGATATACAGAGAGAGATAGTCACAGAAAATAGAACGGGAGACAAAGATAGAGAGGGAAAAAGAGAGACAGAAAGAAAGATACACACACAATCAAACACTAAGAGGAAGTGAGAGAGAAAAGTGGACACACAGGAAAAGGAGACAGAAAGAAAAATACTAAGAGAGAAAATGAAATTGTGAAAGGGATAAAGAGATGAGATTCAGATCCCAAGCCTGTGATACAGCATTGAAGAAACAGGGAACAGTAGGAAAAATAGATGAGTGTTCACAAGGGTTGTCAAGATAGTCCTGACCCAAGTCTGGCCCTATACACTGTACATTCTCTAAGGACCTTCACCATCTGGGGCCTGAATATGGGCCCACCTCTCTGCTCATCTGATAGAGAGGGCTCTGTGAAAGGTATCCAAGGTTGTCGTCAGAGCCAATGGTTGGACTCTATACGGCTTGGCAGAGAGCAGTGTGAATAAAAGTGGAAGAGCACTTGGGAGCCTGTGGGCAGAGAAAACAGGATTGGCTGGGTCACAGGGCAGACGCCCTTTGGTATGTGGCGTGGGCCGTGGCAAGATTGAGCAGGCTCCCGGACGTGTTCCTTGTCCACAGCACAGGCCGTAGGCAGGTAAGTTGTCCTGGACAGGAAGGCTGTGCTGGGTGTTTTCTTTGAGAACAGGGGTACTCTTTGCAGCTGCAGAGCTTTTGCCTCAGCAGAGGTGGTGCCTGGAGGCAGTGGTGTCTGTGCAAAAGCAAGAGGCAACTCCTTTGAGCCAGAATCAAACCAGTGACCTAAGGTTGGCCACACCTGTCTGTCCAGATGATAGTCTTTCACTCTACTAGCTGAACTATCAAAGGGTGCACACTGCCAGAGCTGAGTCTTTGTGGTTTCAGGAAATGAAGGAGCCAGTTTCTGGACTGCCAGAGGTTCAGTATGCCTTGCGTGGGTAGGAAACACACCTTCCAAGAGAACATTGCCTTGGTCGCTACCACCCCTTTTGGGGAGGAGCAAATCCTCTGGATGTGGTGGTCTGTATCCAGGGATGCTGAAAGGCATGATTCCCATAGTGCAGGCAAGGCAGGGTTGATAGGGTCCAAGTTGCTCCTTTGTTCCCTCTATGCACTCTTTTTTTACAGGTGAGGATGATAGGCATCAGTGGCAAACAAACAAAAATCCCAACCAAACATATAAAAACAAGAGATAGTGAGGGCATAGAGGATGTTGAGGAGGATGAGTGGGTTTCTGGGGCCAGGGGAGGGCTGGCTGGAGGGAAAGGAGGACAGGAATAGGCATTGGGTAGGTAGTGGCCAAATGCAGCCAGGCCTCAGAGTCTGGAGGAGAATGTGAATGGAGCCCTTCACTAACTATCTGACCTTTCTACTTTTCCCCTCCCAGAATCCCCTGCTCTGTCTTCCCCTAGCTGCTCTTGATGTTCCCCCAAACCTTCTACACACAGTGTCCTCCACTCACTTTTTGGCTAATTGAGGCCTACTGGAAAGGGAAAGTGAAAACCAGTGAGCACGGTTGAATAGATCATGCCCAGGGCTTCCACAGGCACCTGTTATATAGCCTCCTGCCACCACCGCCCATCACTAGCCCGAGCCTGGGGCCTTGGCTCTACTTCTCAGTGAAGAGAGCAGAAATCCATTGCCAGAGGCTGCTTGCTGCATATTGAAGAGAGGAAATGTTCTGTGGACCTCCTGGAAAGGCAAAGAGGTGGTACAGAGGACAAAGTGTGGGATTTGGACCCTTATCCAGGCTCCAACTTTTTAGAGAGGCTTCAGATCCCATCTGGTGTGGGGCCACTACCCTAAGACTACTTACTCATGTACCCAGTAGGGACATGGGGAAGAGTATGCAAGTCACACCTTAGGGGCCCTCTTTTTAAGGAGTGTCTATGGAATGAGACGTGGATGTGGGTTCACCCACCACCCATTTTCTGATGACCAAATTCCACTCACTGGCTCACTTCAATTGATTCCTGTCAAGCATCCTTCTGGGTTCTGGAGGATCCAGTGTCTCCACATGCCATCAGGGACAGACCCAGTGAAGGGCAAAAATTCTACTTTTGTCCCTTTTGTTTGTTACCAGATTTGTTGTCATTCCTGGCTGGGGTCTCTCTGTGGTTGAGAACAACAAAAGTTTTTTTCTACTGTCTGCTGTGGACCCAACAGCTCCAACTATTCCAGGTCTCTGGAGCTCCTATCATGTCTGGGCTTTAGCATTCTTTCTCTTCCCTCACCCTCAGTAGTAGTAGGGCACTTGGTGCAGTTGATTTGGCCAAGGTTCCATTGAGTGTTAGTTATCCTCATTCTTCCATTATGGCCAACCCTGCTCTAGCCACTTGAAAGCGAGTAAAGTCCCAGGACTGGTGAGGCTTGGGAGATTTGAAACAGGTGTGGGGACACACTTCTTTCCTCAACCTGAAGGACAACCTGATGGTACTAATGGAAGTTCTTAAAGAGTGTGGGATTTGGAAAAGTAAGAAATTCTTATGTTGGCAGCTGTTTACCTGAAGTAGAAACAGCAGAACAGGGATCAGTATTTTCTGTCTGTATACATCTGTGCTTTACAAGCTAAGGAAAATATGATAAGGAGTAAGAAGGAGAGGGGAGGAATGGGAGAGCAGGAGATAGAGAGAAAGGCGATGGGGAAGGGACAGGTACAGAGAAATGCACAGAAGAGAGTGTCAGGATTAGAGAGAAGGAGAGAGAGAAACAGGGATTGGGGTTGGGGAGATTCAGAGAGATACTGAGAGTGAGAGGGAACGCGAGATAGAGACAGAGATGACAGATTTGCATCCCAAGGTAGTAATCTAGAGCTGCAGAAGAAGAGGACTATGAGGGCGAGGTTTTAAGACTATGTCAAGATTGTCCCTAACCCTGTAGATTCATCTTTTAGACTTTATTTCTTCCAGGGTGCTTGACCTCCCAGGAATTCAAAATGGACCCGCCTCTTTGCCTACTTGATGAAGAGAGCTCTGTCATATGCGGGACAGTGGCCAGGTATGGTGGCTCACACCTGTAACCCTAGTACTTTGGGAGGTTGAAGCCAGAGGATCCCTTGAGGCCAGGAGTTGGAGTCCAGCCTGGGCAGCATAGCGAGGCTTTGTCTCTTTAAAAAAAGTAACTGGGTGTAGCCTGAGACAGTAGGATATCTTGAGCCCAAGAGTTCAAGTCTGTAGTGAGTCATGATTATACCACTGCATTCTAGTCTGGGTGACAAAGTGAGACCCAACACAAAAGAAAAAATATTCCAGCAGTGTTTCCTGAGCCAGTGACTGGGCTCAGTAGTGCTTGAAAAAGAGTGGTCTGTAAATAAAAGTGGAAGAGCATGGGATGGTGTGGGTAGGAATGGGGTGTTGGCTGGACCCCAAGGCAGAAGCAAGGCGGACTGAAAATTGTGCTGTGTGCCCGGGGGCTGTGGCAATAATGAACAGGCTCCCAGGTATGTTCTGTGGCCACAGCACAGGTTGTAGGAAGGTACGTGGTCTGGAAAACTGTGCTGGCTTTTTTCTGTGTGAGTGGGGATGCTTCTTGGTGGCTGCAGGGTCTTTGACTAGGCAGAGGTGGGGCCAGGCAGCACTGGTGAGTGGCAGTAGGCCCTTATAAAAGGGCTGGAAGGACTAACTAAGCCCCTTTTGTCTTCCTATCCTTTCTGCCATCTGGGGATACAGTGTTCATCCCCTTAGGAGAATAAAACCTTCAAGGCACCATCTTGGAGATAGAGCTTTTACTCAACACCAAACCTGTTAGCACCTTGATCTTGTACTTCCTGACCTCCATAACTATGAAAAATAAATATCTGATATGTATAAATTATCCAGTCTTAGGTATGTTTTGTTATGGCAGCACAAAGGACTAAGATAAAAATTAGTAAGGGAATTCAGCAAAGTTGAAAGACTTAAGATAAATATTAGAAATTAAGTGTATATATTATATATACATATGTATAATTGCATATACTAGCAGTGAACAATCAGAAAATGAAAATTTTAAAAGCAACACAATTAAAAGAATCATTATAGGTAGAACCAGGAAAGGCGGTGCTGCTGCTACCGCCTTGTCTCTGCGCCCGACATCTCATAGGATCCGTGATGTCAAGGCCGCTCCGGTTGGCGAGGAAGAGTAGGGGTTAAGCCCCTGCTGAGCCAAGGGCTTGCGCTCATCTGGTCTCCCGGGCCTGCCCCACCTGAAGAAATGAGTGGTGGATTGGCTCCAAGTAAGAATACAGTGTATGTATCCAACTTGCCTTTTTCCCTGACAAACAATGACTTATAGAGGATATTTTCCAAGTATGGCAAAGTTGTAAAGGTTACTATAATGAAAGATAAAGATACCAGGAAGAGTAAAGGGGTTGCATTTATTTTATTTTTGGATAAATACTCTGCACAAAACTGTACCAGGGCAATAAACAACAAACAGTTGTTTGGTAGAGTGATAAAAACAAGTATTGCTATTGACAACGGAAGAGCAGCTGAGTTCATCCGAAGGCGAATGTACTTTGATAGATTTAAATTTAAGTGTTATGAATGTGGGGAAAGCGGACACTTAAGTTATGCCTGTCCTAAAAATATGCTTGGAGAAGGTGAACCTCCAAAAAAGAAGGAAAAAAAGAAAAAAAAGAAAGTTCCTGAACCAGAAGAAGAAATTGAGGAAGTAGAAGAAAGTGAAGATGAAGGGGAAGATCCTGCTCTTAACAGTCTCAGTCAGGCCATAGCATTCCAGCAAGCCAAAATTGAAGAAGAACAAAAAAAATGGAAACCCAGTTCAGGGAGTCCCTCAACATCAGATGACTCAAGACGCCCAAGGATAAAGAAAAGCACATATTTTAGTGATGAAGAACTGAGTGATTAAAATTAATACGTATTATGTAAATATTAAAATAAATCTTGTACAAAATTCAGTTGGGGACTAAATTTGGGGGATTACTTTTAGAATTTGAGCATAAGTCAAATAGTTCTTTACAATAAAATAGTTTATAGGAAATTAAAAACATAAAGCATCATGTTCCTTTCTTGCCTTAGCACACAAATAAAAATCAAGATTTGTTAATAACAATCTTGAAAAGAGTTAATTTTAATAAAAAATGAGAAAACTTAATACTATCATAGTAACACTATTGTCATCCTAAGAAAAAAGACGGATATTATAAAGATTTCAAAAGTTCACTATAAAAGCTTTATTCATATCTGATGGGTTTACATGAGAACTTTTGAAATAAATTTAATCTTTAAAACAAAAACTTCATGAAGATTGAAACATTAATAACAATGTTGATAAACTTTTCAAGATAATTTTGTCTTTAAATATGGGTGTTTTGTCATCCTGTTTCTTGGAGATTTATTCCCATCTGGGTAAGTTGTAAATACCCATAAAATATAAAGTGAAGTAACTTGAAAAGCCTTAAAATCAAACACAGCAGTTATTCGTCTCCCTTGCCCATAGCGCCAAATTCTATTCCCTAGAAGCAACACTCATATGTACATACATATAACTAAATAAATACATATATTTCTGTTGACTAATAAAGAAATAAAGGAAGATAATTTAAAAAAAGAATCATTATATATGAACTACTTTGGGATAAAATATGCCTAAGACTTGTACAATGAAGAAAAAAATGCTAAGATAGTTGAAAGAAAAACCTAAATACATCGAGAGACATTTCATATTTGTGAATGAAAAGACTCAATATTGTTAAGATGTCAGTTATTGAGTTGGGCGCTGTGGCTCATTCCTGTAATCCCTGCACTTGGGGAGGCTGAGGCGGGAGCTTTACTTGAGCCCAGGAGTTCAAGACCAGCCTGGGCAACATAGTGAAATGGCATGGTGTTGCATACCTGTTATCCCAACTCCTTGGGGGCTGAGGTAGAAGGATCGCCTGAGTCCAAGAGAATGAGGCTGCAGTAAGCCGTGACTGTGCCACTGCACTCCAGCCTGGGTGACAGTGAGACCCAGACTAAAAAGAAAATTGTCAATTATCCTTAAATTGATTTATAATTCCAATGTAATCCCAATAAGTATCCCAATAGGCTGTTTTCTAATGAAATCGATAACCTAAATTCAAAGATAGCATGTCAAAATAACTTTGAATTACACGAAACCTTAGGACTCACTCTGCCTTACTTATGTTATATATTATGTATTAATATTAAATTTCTATGTATTTATTACAAAGCTGCTATAATTAAGACATTGTCATACTGACATTAAAAATTTTTTAAATCTATAGAACAGGAGTACAAAGATAGCACTATTCATCTGTTGTCAATTGATAGTTGGCAAATCTTCAAAGGCAATTCAGTGGAGAAAGATCTTTTTTCCCCAACAAATCGCATTAGAAAAATTGCAACAAAAGACTGTTTGATTCGTACACCTCACCATGTGCAAAAATTAACTAAAAATGGATCCAAACAACAAAACTCAAAACTTTGTAATGTTTAGAATAAAGTATTTTTCAACCTGTGTTGGGGAAAGATGTTTTAGATAAAACTACGATGAACATATGACCCACAAAAGAAAAACATGATTATTGAGCTTCATCAGGATTAAGAACCTCTGCCTTGTGAAAGTCACTGTTAAGAGACGAGCCTCACAGTGGGAGATAGTCACCTTCAGAGATGACTTTTCTTCTAGGGGATATTTGGCAATGTATGAAGATATTTTTGGTTGTCACAGCTGGGGTGAGAGGGCCGTATTATCAGCATTTAGTGGGATAGGCCAGGGATGCTGCTAAATATCCAACAATAGACAGCATGACCCTCCAAAGGAAAGAATTGGCCAATCCAAAATGTTACTATTATCAAGACTGACTACAGTAACAAGCCACATAGACAAATTCATCACTCCATAAAGCACGGGCTACTCAGGTTCCATCACCACCTGCTAAAATAAACTGGGGACTTCTTCCCAAAGCCTTGAGGAAGGGACAATGCCTAAATTCAAACTTTGGTGTGATGGATGATCCAAGAACTGCTTGAGCAACATGGCAGCAAGTCTTGTTTCTACAAAAAAAAAAAATTGCCGGGAATGATGGTATGCAACTGTAGTCCCAGCTACATAGGAGACTGAGGCAGAGGATCCCTTGAGCCTAGGAGTTTGAGACTGGAGCGAACTATGATCATGCCACTGCACTCCAGCCTGGGCGATAGAGCAAGATCCTGTCCCTTAAAAACAAAATGAAATAAGTGTATTGTAGAAACAGCGTAGAGTTGGATCTCGCTTTTATTCCGTGTGGCAATCTTTGCAGTTAACTAGATTATTGAATACGTTTACATTAAATGTAATATCTGAGATAGATGGAATGAAGGCTACCATCTCAATATTTGCTTTCCATTTGTCCCAACAATTCTTTTATTCAATAACTTCGTTGAAGTATAATTTACATAAAAAATCCATCTTTGCAACTGAACAATGCAAAGATTTTATTTTATTTTATTTTATTTTAAATCAATATTTCTTATTATGATATTGTGGGGTACAGTTAAGGGTTAGGTATACAAATATGCTTCATTCAGGCCCCCTTGTTGATAACAGGTGTCTCCCCATCCCCAGACAGATGTTTACTACCATTAGTCCCATCTCCCTTCCCTCCCCATAGTTTCCCACCACTATCAGTCATTTTCTTATGGTAGTGCGTTGGATGATCAAGGTCCACTATATGAGTGAGAATTTCTTTATACCAATAATAAAGAAACAGAAACCCAAATAAAAAGCACAATTTCATTCACAATAACAAAATGAAATATCTTGACATCTTCCTAACCAGAGATGTGAAAGACCTTTACAATGAAAACTACAAAACTTCGCTCAAAGAAATCAAAGATGACACAAACAAATGGAAAAATATCCCATGCTCATGGATTGGAAGAATCAACATTGTGAAGATGTCCATCTTACCTAAGGCAATCTACAGATTCAGTGCAATACCTATCAAATTACCAGCAAAATTCTTCTCAGATCTAGAAAAAACAACACAGGAATTTATATGGAAACACAAACGACCAAGAATAGCCAGAACAATCCTCATCAAAAAAAAAAAAAAAAACAAAGCAGGTGGTATCACATTACCAGACTTCAAACTTTACTATAAAGCTACAATCATCAAAACTGCTTGGTATTGGTATACGAACAGGCATATAGATCAATGGAATAGAATTGAGATTCCAGAAGCAAAACCTCAATTTCTCAATCAACTCATCTTTGAATGCAAACATTTTAAAAGTCAATTTACAATCTATGCAACCATCATCAATATCAAGGTATAAAATGTTTGATAAATTTCTCCTTTATCTGTTCTTTTTTTTACTCCTGCTTTCCTGACTTTCTCTGCTTTAAACAAGCATTTTTATTACACCATTTATCTCTTTTATTAACTATTTTTTACCTGTGAATATCATCCTTGTAGTTATTAACCTTAAATTACAAAATGTGTTCTTTTTCTTATAACATGACCTGACATTAATATTTTATCATATTTCAAATAATGCTGAGAACATTATAGCAATTTATCTCCATTTATCCCTTCCCACCTCTCTCCTATGATTTCACACATTTAACTTCTGCATACATCCTAAACTCCGTAATCCCTTGTTACTACTGTTGCTGTAAATACTACATTATTTTATATTTACTCATATTTTTATCCTTTTGTACTGTTTATTCCTTCTTCTATTTCCATGTTCCCAACTGACTAATTGTTCAGTCTGAAAAATATATATTTTGTAGTTCATGTCTACTGGCAATGAATTGTCTCCAATATTTTGTTTGTTTAATATCTTCATCTCAACTTCGGTCACGAAGGATTTTTCACTAGTATAAGAAGATAGATTGGCAGTAATTTTTTAAAACCTTTCAGCACTTTAAAGAGAGTGTTCCATTGTTTTCTGTTAGTTTCTACAACTTCTTCTGATAAATTTGTGATGATTCTTTTGTTTCCCTGAAGGCAATGTGCCCTGTCTCCCATTGTGGCTTTTAAGACTTCTTTTAAAATTTTTAGTTTGCAGGAGTTTGGCTGCATGTTTCTAGGTGTGGTTTTCTATGTATTTATCCGGACTGAATTTTTCTGAGCTTTTTGAATCCCTTCTTAATTTTTTAAATTGTAATTAGAAAATTTTTGGTTATCATCCTCAACTGTGCCTATGCCTCATTCTCATTCTCTTTTCTTTTTTTTTTTTTTTTTTGAGTTGGAGTCTCACTCTGTCGCCCAGACTGGAGTGCAGTGGCCGCTCCCGGCCACCGCAGCCTCGACCTGCTGGGCTCCGGCGATCCTTCCGCCTCAGCCTTCCGAGGAGCCGGAATTACAGGCATGCGCTACCACGCCAGGCTGATTTTTTTGATTTATTGTAGAGATGAGGTCTTGCTGCCCAGGCGGGTCTCGAACCCGCGGGCTCAGGCAATCCACTCACCTCAGCCTCCCAAAGGCGCGGGATTACAGGCTGAGCCACCGAGCCCGGCTTCATTCTCTTTTCTATGACCTCAATTCTGTGCACGTAGTCTCCTTTTGACTGTGTTCCACATGTCTATCATTTCCTATTTCCCTCCATTTTCCTTTATTTTTATATGCCATATTCATGCTCCCTAATAGTATGCTTAATGTACTGATTTTGACTTGTATTTTTAAAACTATCCAATTATCTACTTCCTGTACAACAAACAATGTAGCTAGCCTTTATTCCCAGTTACTGAGATGTGACCCCTAAACCCTTAGAACGATTCCAATTAGAATATCTCAAATGATAGGCGTGCCTCTGTATTCATGGTGGACACTGAAAGCTTATGCTAATAAGGTGTCATCTAGTGGGCTCCTAGAGAGTTTATGGGGTGACTCAAGCTGGGACTGACCATACTTGAGG